AAACGGAAAATGCATTTTTGTGTTGCTCTATGATCCTACCAATCACTGCTTTCAAATAGTAAAATGAGAAAATAAATAAATAAATAAATCAGTTGTATTCTTTCTCATGGCTCTTTTCTGCAATTTTCCCTGAGTCCATTCAACTGAAAAATAAATATAAATAAATAAAATACAATAAGATAAAATTAAATAAAATTAAATTAAATCCAAAAATATATGGCACACAGACAAAACAATACTTCCCTCAAAGAAAAATCACATCTTGTTGAAACAAATGTAAAAATTTAACTGAATTACAAACTGAAAATACGTCACTGCTCCACACAGAAGACACACAGGTTGGCCTTTTACCTCCGTGAACATGTACTCTGCCTCCACCTGGCTTGAAACCTCCTGTTCTCAGCATCCACCTTCCGTTTAGCCATTTTTGAGGAGGGGGGGTAGCTGAAAGTTGACCTCTGCTCTGACTGCTGATGAATAATGAAGCCGCTTGCTTCCTTCTGCGCTGCCCGCTTGCTTCCTGTTGCGCTGCCCGCGACTTCGCGGGCTACCGTTGCATTGTGGGGAATGTAGTGTTGGTGCGTGCAAAACACCAGCGGGCGGCTGTGGCCTGGGGGCTGGTTCTAATAGTAATTCATTATCATCCAGGCGGCCATAGATAATTCATTCGCGGGCCGGATCTGGCCCATGGGCCTTGACTTTGACATATGTGCCTTAGACCATTTAAATACCTATAAACATGAGCTGTTGAGGTCTTTGACACAAGTCTCATTAAGTTCATTAAACTCATTACGTTAGGTTTGAAAGAAGTAAGAATATCAAATGTGCAGAATGCCCATCATGAATTGTTTGAGAGAAAAAACAAAAACCTCCCCGGAGTTTTGTCGTGTGAATCACACTATCATAATCAAAGTCAGTGGAAGCAGGTTGCAAAATGGTGCTAAATGTTTCAAGAGGATAAATTACTGTTTCATCTCACACAGTTTTTGGCAGTGAGCTGTGAGATTTCTGTGAGCGTAACAACACAGCCGTGCCAGAGGTTTAACCCTTCTCACCCTGGAGGTCCCTGCACTGAGACCAGGCTGTTATTAACCTGCCTCCAGTTTTCAAAGGTTCCACATTGATCGAAGAGGCAGGAGCTACTGTGATTAAAATGGACACAGCTTTGTTGTGGTCATTGCTGTTGCTTCACATTTAGTCAGTGTTTGCTGCAGTGTTTTAGATCCATTCTGACCTAGTGATGGATGCACAGAGACTTCTTGTATTTCAAAATTCAAAGTGTCTCTGATTGACGAAATTCAAAGATGTTGCTCCAGGTGGAAATTTCATAGTATAACACTTACAATGTTAGGTAAACATCTGCTTTATCTCCTTTTCCAATACACATTATTGATACCATGAACTCATTTTATACAGGCGAAGTCAGTGATAACTTGGACGCATTTTTTTTTTTTTTTACAGAGGAGTGCCACCTCCTGCACCAACACAGAAGCTCCCTGAGATAGCAGGTAAACATCTAGTGATGCAGCATGTGTTGTGTCAACTTTTTCTTCTTCACTATTATATGTGAATGTATATTGATTTTTGTACATACTTACACAGACTGTAGACTGTATAAAGTGATTATTGCATGAATGGAGTCTTGTCCTTACCCTCTGCCATACCAGACATTTAAATGTATCCTGTGTCTTTACTGTTTGAGAACACACTCTGCAGACATTTCCACTTTAAGTTCAGCACACAACTTGACTCATAGCGTTGCTGTTCATTTACTCTGCGATTGGAGTCACTCTCATGTTGCTTCAGGTCCAGAGGCTCAGACCGACGCCCCGTCAGAGGCCCCAGCGATTGTCACCACCACCACCACCACCACCACCGTCCTCCTCAGCCCCACGAGTGCCTCTACAAGCCCCGCCCTCGATCTGACCCAGCCGGCTGAGGAGCCCGAAGAGGTACCAACACGCACTTACATTTACATTTTCGGTATTTAGTCGACGCTCTTATCTACAGCGACAAGTTAAAGGAGGCTGGAGCTTTTTGACGAGATTCAGTGGCTGAAAATGTCACGCTGGAGCACTTGTTCTACTGCAGTAATTTATGCATTATGTCCCTCCATCTGCCTTTTTAACCTGCAATATGTGCACTTTAAAGACGCTTTAACCATTAACCGCTGCTGACCACCTTCCAGCTACACTACACTGCTGTGAACAGCTTCACCGAAGCAGTTAAGTGAATGTGCCTTCTTTAGAGGCTCATAAAGCTGATGGCGTGTGTTGGGTTTTCATCCACTTGCCTTTTATTGTTTTTTTTTTTCAACTCATTGTTTTTCTTAAGAAGTGATTTTCTGGTTAAAAACCTGCTGCCTTAGTTAGACAGAGAAGTTTAATTTGATTTACCTACTATTGCGATGGTAGTGCATGTTTGATATCAGTAATTAGAAATGACAGTTTCTTTACATTACAGCCAATCAGATTACTTAGTTTAGGGTTTAGATTTAGATCTTAATGTCCAGGTGGTCATTGTTTTCAGCTCAGCCATCACATTATTGTTTCTATGGAAGTTTTCAGGCGAGGTTATGAGTAATGTAAAAGATTGATTAACTACTAATCTAAGACATGGATCTGTTTTACCTGATATAACCTTTTTTTACTTTGGTGTAGGATGTAGTTCTTTTTTTGTTTGTTTGAAACAGCAACAACTGTGTCATTTCCGAGGACGAGACATTTACATATTCACAACATCAGACTTTCTTTTTTATTTGAAAGAACGTCTCCTTTTCAACCTGTAACTTTTACATTTGATATTCAAGGCTTTATAATACTTTGGCCGAGCCTTTGATCTGATGAAAACATACAAAGCCGCATCCATAGAAATATTTATGGCACAATTCTGCTTCAGTAAAACTTCCTCCCACGCAGCTGGTTTGTGAATTAAACTTTACAGATCACAAAAGTCTGTATTCATCTGAGAAAATCTACCAAATGTGGATGTTTGTTTATGTAAACGCACACATCGAGCCAAACAGTATTTCTAATTTGATGTTATTAAATAAATAGATCCATGTCTGCTAACTTTTTCCTTTACACGGTAGACTTGGTTTCAAGGTTTCAAGGTGATCCGTTGGCTGGAGCGTGGCCACTTGGGTGACCTCAGTATTGCACCCCTACTTCATCGAGCTGTGACCTTCAGCCTGCTCTGGAGCAGTTTGCTCAGAGTAGAAGTGCTGTTCATTGACATTGAAAGCAGCCAGCTGAGGTGGTCAGGGCACGTGACCGGGTTGCCACCTGGACACCTCCCTGTGGAGGTATTTCAGGCACATCCAACTGGGAAGAGACCACGGGGCAGACCCAGATTAAGCTGGAGGGATTATATGTCCCTTCTGGCCTGGGAACGCCTTGGAATCCCCCAGGACAAACTGGAAGAAGTGGCAAGGGATCTGTTGGCAGCAGATAATGGTGTCAGTGACAAAAAAGAGATTTTACTTACGTTTTTTTTTAGAAATATTGTTGAAAAGGTTGTTTGGAAAGGTATCAAGATATTTTTTCGATAATCAGCAGCTGGGCAGGAGCGTGTGCTGCCCGAAAGGCCCTCACCACCAAACTTTATTCAAACTTTAGTGGAGACTTTTAGGGTGTTTTTTTTTCAAACAATTAAGTGGAGTGATAAGAAAGGTCCACACCAGGAAGTCAGTGAAAAGCAGCAGTACCAGCTCTGGAAAACCAACCTTGCAAAAACCTTGAAAATGTGCAAGTTTGTAAGTGTGTAGACGAGATTGATCACATGACCTTCCCCACGCACAGGATGGAGTCTGCAGTTTCTCTAACAGCTTTCAAACAGTGAGGAGAGTTTACCTGCTGCACTTATTTACCGGTCGCCCAGCTGGTTCTGTTCCTGTTCCTCTTGAGTTCAGTCCTCTGTCTGTGTGTGTGTGTGTGTGTGTGTGTGTGTGTGTGTGTGTGTGTGTGTGTGTTTTCCAGCAGCAGCAGATGGTTGCAGCAGTGCATCATGTCTTTCCACAGATAATTACTGCTTTCTCCTGTCTGCAACTGTGATGACTGGGTTTGTAGTGAAGGAGTTCATTTTAGTTTGGCTGAAAAAAAGATAAAAAGCCTTACTTGACGTTTGACATTGAATTCCTTTAAAGATGTTCCAGATGCAGGTTTGGTGAAAATGCTGTCATTTTGCTAAAATTGCAGACTGACGTCGGAAATTACCAGAATGATTTGAGTTTTTGCTGTCAGCAGCTCTGTGAGAGCAGGTCATTACTCTTTTCACCCCGTACTTCTTCTTTGTGCAAGTGTTAAATGTACAGGGAGGAGTCATGAGTCACAGTCAGACTGATGCATGTATGTGCCAGGGGTGAATCTGCACTGTGTGGTGCACGTATTTCAGTTCGTTTTATTACTTTCCTGGCATCAAAAGCGTGACTACCTTTACAATACTTCAGCATAGTTAGGGGTTTCCTATATCTCACGTGTGTGTATTTATGGCGGGAGACTTTGTGCTTTCGCTCCACTTCAAATCAAAGGGAAAGCATTTATTTGCCTGTGCTACTTACTTTATGCCTTCTTTCCTTCTGTCCTCTCCTCATTCCCGGCTCTGCATTTATTCTCTCTCTCCTTTCTGTGTTTCCTCCTTTTTGGTGTCTGACGAAAGACATTTGGAGCTGCTGGGAACGGAAATTGTGGTGCATTTAATCTCTTTTTGCTCTGAGTTGTTGATGAGATGTTGAATCCTTCCTCTGAGATTCTGCTCCATGTCGACATGATTCATCACATCATTTCTGCAGATTTGTCAGCTGCATTTTTATGCAGTCAAATCTCCTGTTCTACCACATCCTACCGGTGGAGTCACATCTGCTGACTGAGGAAGCCGTTGAACTCACTGTCACGTTCATAAAGCCAGTTTGACTTTAGTTTCAAGGTGCAATATCCTGATTTAAGCAGCCATTAGAAGATGGTAGGCTGTGGCCGTGAACGGATACATATGGTCAGCAACAACACTAAGACAGACTGTGGCATTCATATGACAGGATGGCATTCACAGACCTTGAGACTGACGAGTGTTTGTCGTCCTGAAGGATTCGGAGCTTCCCAACGTGGTCCCTGAGAGTCCGGTGGAGCAGATCATTGAGTTCAGTATCGACCTGGTGGATCCGGGTTACAGAGAGCTGCTGGGCGACTCAGACTCCCCCCAGTACATCGACCTGGCTCACCACCTGCAGGACCAGGTGAGACTTTGGCTTCCTGCTTTCTTTTGTTCTGTCTTCTGCTGCTGTCCTTGTTAATAGTGTTTTTCTTTATGAAAAAAAACAAACAAACACCTGACTGACGAAATGGATTAGAAATGAAAACAAGCCTCAAGTGGCTGACAGTCCTTCTACTTCACCTGTCAGAATAAAACACACTTTGTACATGGTCTGTAAGAGAAGTGTTTAGTTAGACGCTTTACCACGAGTAACTGGTCTTATTTGTAGTTAATGTAGTTCAGTTAAATTAGGCGAGAGAGCAGTGGAGTTTGTCATAGGTCAATAAATTAAATGAAAAATACTTTATTTATCCCAGAAGGGAAATTCAATAATAATGTATTTAGATTTAGAAAAATAAAATGTTCATTAAAACATTTCACAGATCACCGTAATTAGGCTAGAAATTAAATAAATTCAGTTTAATACTATCATCATATATTATCCTGTTTGTTTTGGATTCAGTTAAATATATTTGTTTATTCTCATTATATTTTTGGCATGTTTGTATTTTGCATGCTCTGATTGTTAAACACAGTATAGAAAGATAGAGGATGATGCAAAGGAGATACTGGTTCTGGAAGTACTTTTTTCTAAACAGCAAATTATCACAAAAATAAACTCAGGAGGCTTATATTATGGTTACTTTGACGTTCAGTTTACATTTATTTTGGTTCAACTGTAACAGTGATAATCATCATTGTTACAGAGCCATAGGATGTAAAACTGTAAAATCTCAAAAACATTGATCAGTTTAAACCTGATTTTTTTTTTTTTCAAATTTTAACTGAAATGCCATTAATGTACACAGACTTATTGTAGTGCCATATTGGTTACATATATATATATTTATATACATGCAATAACGAGCACCAGCATGTAAGATGCATCTTAGCCACTGCCAAACTGCAGCAAGCTAATTTAAACAGTAGAGAACGTCAAACTTTAGTGCCATTCTTTTTTTTCTTTTTTCTTTTTTTAAATGAAAGAAACACCAAAACCAAGCAACACAATAAACAGTAAAATTTA